GCAAAAAACCTGCACCTGTTCTTTGAGATGTCGTTCGTCTAGAAACCTTTGGGCGGTGCCTCCCTCTCTTCCTTCATTCGCTGTCTTCGAGGACCTAGCCGTTTCTTAGCCCACAGGCACACCGACGGAGTTGTAACCACGGACATGGAAAACTCGCGATACCATGGCGCGATAAAACTATGGGAAAGTCACTCAAATCTCGAAACATCATACCCGAACGAGTCAAAACGAAAGTTGCTATGGCGGGCGGTAGTGGCGAATACTATCCCGCAAAAACATAAAATTCTTAAACATATTTGTCCCACTGATAGACTCGAAACATTACGATTAACTAAGCAAGGTGCCCCTATACGTGAACAGAATTAAAAATAAAAATCGGTGAAAGTATTAGATCTAAAAGTTCGATTAACGGGCGGGGTGCGGAGCTAGAACAAAAGCTATACCAGAACCACGGAATTTCGCCCCAGGAGTACGAATTGACTTTTTTTTGCGACAAAAAGACTAATCGACCGATCTCACGAGGAGTTGCGCGACGCCACCGCTGCCGTGGTGCATTCTGGTACCTGTAGTTCCCCCCAGTTTTCCGGCCGCGTCGGCGCGCATTGTACGCCCGGCGTTTGGAAATTTTCGGGTTAGCACGAGACCTCTAGCCAGGTGTTAACTCATGGTTTTCAATCGGTGGCTTCACATGTTGTATGCCACGGAGCTATAACAACAGCACCAGGCAAAAAGGCCTCGGATATTATGTCTTCCCGCAAGAAAGAAGCATGGCAAAGAAAGGTCGACAGACCCGGACAGAGCGGCAGGAAAAATATCGTGTTACGATTTGTTTCGCGATTCGCTTCATAATTTATATCCAACTATTGCACGTCAGCGAAAATATGTAAGATTACAGGGCACGAGACGTAGAGCGTGCCGAAGTGTTCCGTAAGCTGGAATCTGACCATTTGCTCCGTAGCGGCCTATTCGTTGGTCTATCTCAAATAGGACCACCGCACTGCTTTGCGGAGACCGTTTTTATTACTTACTCGGTGTATTTTGGTGGTTATAACTGCTATTGCGACGACATGTTTCAAGCACAACTGTGCTTGAAAAGATAAGGACAATCATTAAAAAAGAGCAGCGATTCGCACCTCTTGATATAAAACTAATTTTTTTCGGAAGGAGCCTTCATTTTTTTTTTTTTTCATACCAACGCGAAAGGATTACATAATGCAATTTAGAAGTGCAACACGTACTTACCGCCAAAAATGTAACAAACGGACCTCATCCATTTTGTGGTGGTCTATTAGGCTAGTGTTACTGATCCATTCTGCACTAGCACCAGTCGAGACCGCAGAAAAAAGCTTCCCCTGTCGGGCGACTGTTAGCGTTCAGATCTTGCGCAAACAAAATAAAACTGAATAGAAACTGCACGAAAAATCATCTCCACCCCAAGCTTTCAGGTATCTGGCATGGTTGCTTCTTTTTGATAGATGCCAATTTTTACGGCGCGTCAGGCATGGCCTTTCTGCAAATCAGTTCTTTGTGTGCAGGCTTCTCCCACTGTTCACCTGTACTCTGTCGCACAGGCTGTCAACCAGAATGAAACAACTTTCAGAAAACTATCGCTGACCGAGAAAGTCTATTCAGCTCGTCTTACTTGATGGCTGATTAAACGTTATGCACAAGACTGAGCACCACCAAGCTCAGTTTTTCATCACATTTGATGCTGTTCCATGGTGCTACACCGAGCCGATGGTCCCTCAAATTTTCTTGTTCTTTGCTGTTGCACTAGATGTTCACTTGTTTGCAAGGTAATTGAGACGTCAGAGGAGTCGGAATGCTCAAGTAATGGCGCCGTTGATTTTTTTGTTTTTTTTTTTCGCGGCCGCAGTGGGATTACTTCGTGAACGGTAGTGGGCTCACGCGTTCACGAAGACGAAGAAGCAGACGACGACGAAGCAGACGACAAAGCGATTCTAAAGCGATAAGACGACCGAAACTGCTTTTCTGCACTTGCTGAGGAAAGTGAGGCATCACATACAGCACAATCTTATCAAGTAAAAACATGCAAGAGAATCAAGGTGATACCGGGGCGTGCCAAATGATAATCTATGATGATGTACGTACGCTCAGCCGTATGTAGCCGGGAAGGGATGACTACAAGTAGCATGGTGGAGGCACCACTTCCGGAATGCGCGCGCCTGCGCAGTTCGCTTGGTGACACCGCTCTATTACCCATCGAAGCAAAGCTTGCACTGCTTCCGGATGTAGCACTCGCGAATTGTTAAAGTTGCCCAAGTATCTGAAACTAGAATGTCCTGGTTAAAAATATAAATGTTTTTTGTTATTGTTTTGTTGTTTTTTTGTGTTTTTGTTTTTTGTTTTTTAATAAAAAGCAGAACGGTTTGCGATTTTGACATGAGGCGCGCTCAGCCTCAACGTATTTGCGGGATTTCGTCGCTCTCAATTTTTGTTTTAATGTAGCTGGAACTAGCATTTGTTTTATGTTAGGTTCAGTTCTCACATTCTGGCTTCTAATCCAATAACTTGCGTTACTTTCACGCGGCATCCGAGCGTTCGCTGACGGCTTAGCTTTCTGCTGCGGAAACCACAGATCACCCAGGGGGAAACAGTACATTCAAAGGACTCTTTCGTAAAATACTTCATTCTCGCGACAACCTAATTTCGCGACTTGTAAAACATCGCGAAAAAATAATCACACGAATATGTGATTATTTTGAAAACGAATAGCTGGCATATTACTTCAAATCGCGTTTTTTTTCTTCTTTTCTTATGAACAGGGAGTATTTCTGCGATCATGTTTCGCGAAATTGACAAATTACTGATCCCACAAAAAAAGTTGTTTCTTCTACATGGCGTTTCTTGTCACATGTGACGCGTTTTTTGGCTAGGTAGGTGTTCTGCATTTCGTGAAACCCAGATAAACGCGTGGCCGCGAGACTCGACGCTGATTGGTTGACGGGAGGAAAATGAGGAGTGAAGTGCTCAAAGCTGATTAGTTGACGGGGAGGCCATGTGAACAGAGGGGTAGGCGAAGAGGAGTGAGGTAGGCGAGGAGGATCTCGACCACCTGTGCACACCGAGGGAGAAGAGCTCGAGAATGGTAAAGGCTCCGGAATATCACCAGGTTTATCGGCCCGATTAGCCGTAGTGTCGCTTTAATCAAGGAACAACTGTGTTGTTCATTGAATAGATTCCTCGTTAAGGAACCTGTGTCTGTGTTGTCCCCTTTTTTCTTCTTCTTTTGTCCTACGTCTCGGGTTTTACAATGTTGAAAGTTCACCAGCTCCCTTGCATCTTCTCAGTAATTTCTAAACTATCAAGTGTAAACATGGTGCGCATTAAGCTCTCTGATAAAAAGCGCCGTGAACATAGGCGTCTGGCGTCTGAAAACCCCGTTAAACGCCTATGATGCTGGTACGTTTAAAGTATGCAACACAATTGCTTATCAATTTTCCAAAAACTGGTGTTCACAAGCTAAGACGTTTAGAATGCGTATATAACATTAAACTTACGTTTTACAAACACATGAAAATAACAATTACGCCACGTTTATGAAAGCCAGCGTTTCGTTGTTGTTGTAGTCTTAGAGCGCAGCTCTTAGGCGCCCGTTTCGGGCTTGAGCGGCGTCGCCGTCGCCGCCCGCGTAACCGCGGCGATGTTTCGGCACCGTGCCGAAACGTCCGCGCGCGGTCACGTAACATCACGGAGGCGATCAGGGGGTCACGTGACACCACTCGGGGGGGGGGGGGGGGGGGGGGGGGGGGGTCAGGGGGTTAGGGGGTTCACGTGACCCCTCTCAGGGTGCTTAGGGGGGTCACGTGACACCCCTCCGGGGTGGGGTTCAGCGGGGCCACGTGACACCCCTCGGGGGACGTCAGGGGGGTCACGCGACCCCCTGAGGAGAGTCCATGACCTCCCTGAGGGTGTCACGTGACCCCCCTTACCCCCACAAGGACCCCCTGAGGGGAGTCCGTGACCTCACTGAGGGGGTCACGTGACCCCCTGACCCCCACGTGTGGGTCACGTGGCCCCCATGAGATCACGTGAACCCCGTGAGGTCACGAGGGTCACGCGACGTCACTCAGGTGATCTCACGGTTTCGCCGACGCCACTCGGAGGGAGGAGCAGCATGATGAGGAGGTGAAGAGAAGGGAGGAGAGGCATACCCTCCCCTCAGTACCCTTCCCTCCTCCTCCTCAAGAGCTGCGCTGTAATTCGTCATTACAAGAACTTGTAAACGGCTTTCATTTTTTTTAAATGACAACATGCTAGCTGTCTGCGTTCGATTAAGCCCGAACCTATCCCAGATGACGCGAGTCATTCCCGATCATGAATCTGTATCACGTTAGGTCCGGCACGCAGCTAACGCTACGACGCGACGCTGCCAGTTGGCAGCGTCAAAGGTGCATGGTCATGGTACTCTTTGTCACTGTCCATTTTATCACCGGCTGAACGAACATCGCGCAGAAAGAAAGCCCGTGATTCGCCGCATTCACTCTACACTCTAAAAAATGATTGCGCGTCCACTTTCACGCACAACACTCGGAGAGCCAATCAGCGCAACTTACGGAGGCAGCTCAGCGAATGACGATGGGGAAACATATGTCTAGACCAAAAAACGCAGTCTGAGTTGTGACATTAAGCCATGCAAAACGTCACGCTTGCCGCTTGCTGAATGTCACAACTCAGTCTGCGTTTTTTGGTCTAAACATAAGTTTCCGCATCGGCATTCGCTGAGCTGCGTCCGTAAGTTGCGCTGATTGGCTCTCCGAGTGTTGTGCGTGAAAGTAAACGCACAGACTTTTTTTTAAGAGTTTACGTGATTACTTTAGCCGGCAATAACGAACACACAAAGACAATGGCCACCATGATGACGCAATTTTAAAGCAGCCTGGTTGGCTCATCGACTTCATTTGAAACGCACTATGAACTAAGTCAAGTTCCCTCAAGTCCTTCTAGGCACTCAAGGCGTTCCTCAAGTAGCGCAATACCTGTGCCTTTCGTGTGATCTCTGATTGGTCCGTCGGTGGTGTTTCGAGCCTGGACCGCTTTGAAGCAGCCGCCATTGGTCGAGCACTCTGAAGTAGTCCAGGACTCACAGATGCCGTTGGTGAAGTCGCACCTAGACTCGCCTTGCGGATCATCTGCGAGCAAACAGAAGGGTCACAATTAGATTGTCCGTTATAGGCTTGGACAGATTAGACACTTTTTTAGCCAGTGAAATACCCGCTGCTAACCAGGGATTTAGTCGCACTAATCGCGCAGTTGTGCGATACACGACCGCACGTGTCGGTGTGCGATGCTCATTGATATCGAAACGGGCAGGGGTAGCGAGTGAACCCGGGAGTCGTGCCTTTCTGCAGCGCGAGATTTCACTACCCGTACTCCGAGCTGCGGTGTGCAAACACACTCTGCCATCTAGGGAAGGAAGGTCACAATGAAGATTCCACCAAACGCTTCGAGCTCCAAGAATAGGTGGCCCCAACGCGTTGGACTCTCCCAACCATCGTAGGGCATGGTATTGCGCAAGCTCAGAAATTGTGCGCATGAGCTGTGCGTCGTCATTAACTTCTCGGGGGACCCGTATCTGTTGACGCCGACGCGATGAGTGTGAACGGGCACCGTCATTCATGCGCGGCAAAGAAAGCAAACACGTGTCCTGCAGTCAAACTTTCTCCGAGTGAAAGATGATAACGGAAACGAGCCACTCGAGCCTGTTCACTTATCCTTCGTTCTGGCGGGAAAGACCTCGAACCCTTGACTCCTATCTATCTAAACTCCCTCGTCGCGACTGTCAGCGTTCCCCCGCCCGTGACGACATCTACATAAGGTAAACGTCACCAGGTGAGTGGCGCGCAACACAAATCCAGACCGAGAAAAGACCGCTCAGAAGAACACCTGACTTTGTTCCGTGTTCCATAGCATCCCCTTCCCTTTTTTTTTTTTTTGTTCTTCTTTGGATAAAGCGATGGAAGTTGCGTACTAGATGAGCCGTCGGCAACGGTCAGCAAGAAGGACTTTGGTCATCAGTCTTGCATCACGTGATCATGCTTTCATGCGGATACTAGAAAGCCTAGATCTAAAAGAGGTGGGCAACTCAAGTTATGCAGAGCCTTTTGCGATCTATTAGCCGAAACTTCCTGGGCAAATTGGGTGCTGAACGCACATGCGTAATGCGTGAGTTTTCGCGAGGGGACAAGAAGAACGGGCAGAGGAACTGGGCAAAGGTAGAATATGCTCTCGCAGGCGATCGCCGCTTTCGGGTCCTCAGCCCTTAAGCCACGTGACCGGGCTTGAACTCTTTGAAACACTCTGAAATCTAGGCACAATATAACGTAAGTGGTCAAGCAATGAAAAGACCGGCGATGAATCGGTTCCGCTAGAATGAAGCTTCTACTGCACTGCCAGCTCAACGGTGAATAGAGTACAGTGTTGGTGTACAACATGCTGGTATCCAAATTTGACCCAACTCCCAAGATTACTTGTAAAAATGCGGTTTTAGCCAATGAATATATTTTATGAACATGTGTCCAGGACGATAAATATGAAGTGAAAGGAACAGAAAAAGGAAAAGTTAAGACACGCAGAATACGTTGTGTTACGTTCACCTGGATCCTTGCTTTGTTATTTGCTTGTCCTACGGGAAAGTGAGCATACATGGAATTTTAGAATGCACAGTCTTCCAAAATATAAAAGACCGATTACCCTATGCAAGTTATGCGGTGTACTTGGTTTGATAGGACCATTTAGACAGCGTTATTAAACTTAGCAATTAATATTGTATTTTCTTTCCACTTCACCGATTTTTTAGGTGTAATAAATGCCAGAATAGCGTAGAACAATTGTTTGGTGAATTAAGAAAAAAAAAAGGCTTAGCCCTAATCTTTCCATGGACAGTTCTTATTCTCTTACTTTTCATTCCGCAGGTTTTGTGTATTCATGCGCTCAAGTAATTAATGCACTCCCTTCGGGCACCTCTCTAGTAATAAATCTCAGCACGACGCGTTGAGAAATCGATGTTTACGGGCCGTCCAAGGTGGGATCGAGACATTAGTATACACGCGGTATGCTTATTGTGCATCATTACAAAAGCGAAAGCTGTTCATCAGCACAAAAAAAAATAAACGAATGAATTAATGAACGAATGACAAAGCGCACCATCATGGTATGGTATTTGTCATGTTTCTTTACCTGTTCTATCGTCGCTGATTCAATCATAAACACAAAAGGACTAACGACTTGCGCATTTGTTGCTGCTTGATTAGATCCCATTACCTCGTAAAATAGAAATACCGTTTGGCCAGGGTCACTCTTTGTTTTTGAAAGAAAATACTTGTATACAAATATTCCTTTATATTAACATCCCAGGAAATGTAGGTCCGACTGAAACGGATTTCGCACAACCCCTTAAAACTGTGTCGTCGAATGGGTCTTTCATACTGGTGAAGACTGTATGATCAGAACAAATAAGTAGAGGAAACGACAACGAGAAGTTTTCCCGCGCTTATCTTTAACGTGGCAGGATGTCACGTAGCGTGTTCGTATATATATATATCTCAACAGGCTCTTCAAGCCCTCGGATGCTTCGAGATTTTCGGTGTAATCGCATACCTCTAGTAGCGTGAGTTCCTCCAAGAGCTCACGTTTGAGACCGACTAGGCCAAAAGAGTAATCTCCCGATGCGCCCGTCGAAGGCAAGCCTGTCTATCTATCTAAGAGAAAGTGACACAAAAGAACATCTTACCGAGATTGAACATTTTTACGAGGCGTTTCATTTTATGCTCTACCGATATGTTTGAAAAGGCATGCAAGCTACACTAATGCTGTTTGTGAAGGTGAGTTGTACGGGCCATGGGACGTAGGACGGAGGGACTCAAAAGTAGCCGGAAGGAATTTCTGGAGGGCGGGACGTTTGTAGTATCAGCTTCCGCCGCTAGCAGCGCTTAGAGGCACCTCTTCCGAGTTAAATTACCGACTGGCGTCATCTCCTGAAGTTATAGCGGCATGCTGCGATTTTTTTTCCAAACGTTTCAAAGTCATTCGTCCTTTTTATTTATTTTTTTGCTTCTTTTTTTGCAATGTCTGATTTGAAGGAACAGCGTGCGGCCGTTAAAGTCTGCCTTCTTTTAGGAAAAACTGCGGCGGAAATTCTTGCAATGGCCTCTACGCACAGTTGCGTTTGAAAGCGTTTGACTGCGTTGCGACGAGGAACGAAACCGAGTCACCGGCACATCTGTCCTTTGCATGTAGCATGAAATCCAACTCAAGGAATCATCTTAGCATGCGACAAAAGAAGCACGGATGTCCTGGTTTCTCGCGGCCGAAATGCACTCGAATGCTCTCAAACGCAAGTGAGCGTCGGGTCTAAATGCTTCAAACAGCTAACAAAGAAGATGCCATGAAAAAATCAGGTGCACGAGTGTTTTTCTCGCTTCAAGGGCGGTGAGTTATTGATCGATGAGCAACCTCGTTCAGGGCGACCCTCAACCTCCTCAAATGATGAACATTTTGAGGAAATATGGCCATTGTTCACTCACAGTTAGTTCCTCGTGGAACTTTTAGTCGGGTGCTTTACGAGGAAGTTCTTCCACGCTTGTGCTACTCAATAAGGCAGAAACGCCCCGATTTGTGGAACACGGAGAGTGGGGGTTTCATGTCGGCAATGCCCCATCACACAATGCCCTTTCAATCCAACAAGCTTTTGAAAAAAATTGCATGACACCGCTTCTCAATCCTTTTCACCGGACGTCGCCCAGTGTGAGTTTTTTTCTTTTCGCTCCTATGAAAAGGTCTCGAAAGAAAAACTTCACGTAGAACTGGAAGGTCCTTGAAATGAGGCAGTGCAAAAAGCGATAAATTATGATTAAGCGCTTGGGGAAAAAATTTGCAACATGCCGCTAGAACTTTACCACATTACGCCGGTCGGCAAACTGACTCGGACTGCTGTTAATCGCCGCTAGCGGCGGGAGCTTGTACTGCAAACGGCCTGCTCTTCAGATATTCATTCCGGCTCCTTTTGTTTCCCCCTCGTAGTATAGGGGGATAATCGGAACGATAATTCGGCCAATTAAACCAAATGTGTTGATGAACGCTTTAGTTAATAAAGTATAAGTATAATTGTAATTAGAAGCTTTCTGGGCGTCACCTAAAACCACTCAATCAGTCAATATTAGGAACACTGGAACCACGTTTGAAGCACGGTGGGGTACTAAAGTTTCCACTCGTGTAGCAGGGGCAACCTAGGGGTGTGATAATGTACCCGCGCAATTTTTCCGTCTCTTATCATAACCCCAGACTTGTGTTTGTTGCACCGGTGGTAACTTTAGCAGACCAATGCGCTTCTTACGCGCTTAAAGTATTTCTCAAAACGAATGGTTTTCGCTGACGTTGAATAAGTTTCAAATTGGAAATGTATGTATATTCTCAATAATTAAAAAGTTTAATAGCATAGTTTAGTTAATTATTCAAATTATCTTAAGATTTACCCCTTATGTTCCTTTGACCGTAAAACTCACCTGCACAAACTGAATTAATTTAGTTTTCGTGGTTTTGTTTAAACAAATATGTTAAGCTTAAAAAAAGCACCTTGTATACTGGGTGTTTATGTGAAAAGAGAACCATGATTTTCTGCCCGCGCACATAAACTATGTGCATCACGGAAACCTGAAAATCCGTAAGAATATGCCGCTGGCAGTGGTGCTAAAATTTGACAGTTTGAGAGCATGGCGTTAGCTGGATCAAACGATAAAAAAGAAACACGTAATTTCTCTGCAAGCCGACGTTCACCTAAGCCATATCATCAAAACAAGCAATGATATTGGGGGCGACTGTAACATTTATTTCGGCGAAACAAACTTGTCATAAGAAATGTTTCCTTTCTTGCTGCTATACGTCGTTCACAGACATAAATGCGACATCCGTGTACGATGTCATTTCATGTTTTGACAATACTAGTTTTAGATGGATGTCGGCCTGTACAGAAATTTCGTCTTTCTTTTTTATCTTTTGATCGAGGTAATATTCTAATTCTCAAACTTTAATCTTCTATCATCATCACTAGCGTTGCCCTCTTACAAAGTTTCAGCTTCCAGCTATTCGTATTTCAGTTACATGGGCCCAAAAACATGGTTCTTTTTTCTCAGAA